AATCTTACAGCTTTCTGAATTCTGGATTTCCTTGTAAAGTTGAAATATTTATTCCCTTCCCCCCATATGGGTATGGTAAAGAGGGAGAGGTTAAGATTCAGCTGATAAGGAGAGAATCCTAGAAGGAAAGGTGACACAAAAGTATTAAACATTAATATGAATGTTATACTTTGAATCCTTCCTTTTTTTTTTAGATTAAAAAAATTTTATTTTGGTCTTTTTTCCTTAAGTGAATAATACCTCATATACATGGAAAAACTAATGCATTGTATTCTTATATACTGGACTTTATTTTACTGATTTCTGTACTGAATAAAATGAAACAAGTTGTGAATATGAAGTTCAGTGAATTCTTTGATATTCTTGCTGTCTTTATAATATGCACCCACCACATTTGCTTTCCTGTGGTGGTAGATTCTCAGCAAGATGACCCTAAGTTTCAGTGCTAATAACTCTATTTGAGTTTTTCAGTTTTGTTTTGTTGGTCTCTCCTTTGACAACCCTTCCTTACCCCATTCAAAAATCTTGGGAAACTGTCTTCTCTATCTTCTGCAGAGTTACAGTTGTCTTTGAAGTGTAAAATTTCCTTCCTATAATGAGCAAGAATTTTTTGATCTTTGTTCTCATCCACATTCAGCTTTCCTTCTTACCCCCTTCTGGGCCATTTTGCTTTCTTTAAAAAGTTTTAGTGTAAGGCCCTACCTACTACAGTTGGAGTTTAGCCTTCCCAGTTAATTGCCTTCACATTCAAATGAATCTTATCTATTTCGGTAAAAACTATTTGAATTTATGTGAATGACTATGCAATATTCTGAGTTTCACTATACAATGGATAGTGTAAATCATTTTGTGAAAATATTTTGCCATTTTCTAATAGGACCAAATATATTTACTTTTTGTGATTCAGCTATTAAAAGTATCTGCTGTATTTTTAGCATTAACATAAAGCTTTCTATATGTGCCAAGTTCTAGATATTTTTAATTCTGTTTGGGTTTTGTGTCCCTCTGTCCTCCAAAAGAGAGAGAAGGAAAGAATCACTTAGGCCCCAACTTTACGTTATCATGGCCCAGATTTGGGGTTGAAGTAGAGGATGCTTAATGATAGAGCTGTATAGATCAATACATATCTGGTTTGAGAAAGCACTAATCTTCCTTGTGTAGATCATATTTTTTGCTGTTTTGAAACAGAGAACCTTTTTATAATAAATGAAATGCAAATGAAGGTGAGTCAGATTGAGAAGAAGGGATGGATGGAGGAATTAGAACAAGCAGGTTCTTTTTTACTGTTCTTTCGATGACCTTTTTTATTCTTCTGAAACTGGTGCTATTTCAGACTAGTTCTTAGAAGACTCCATGGAGAAGCAAGGGATACGATATCTTTAAAAAAATGTCTATTCACCTCTCCCCCACAATTATCATATCTATTGACCTATTGAGGAAAATTCAGCTAATGTAGACTCTTCTCTATGGGTAGACCCAGTGCCTCTCTTAAGAGTTCCAGATTGTAAGGTCATAAAGAAATTTATATTAGGAGTTTACTCTGTAGATTTGGCCACATAAAATCCAGGCTTAATATTGGTATCGTATTTCAGAACACTTTAAAAGCCGTCTTAATCATTTTTTGTTAACAAGTAGTTGTTTTTGCAAGAGAGTCATTTATTAGGCTTCTATTAGTTATTTTCCCACCGTTCTCCACACTTTTCAATCTCTTAATTATTCTGGAGTTTTTACTAGAAAAGTTACCTATAGTTAAAAATCCAAAATATTTAGAAGAATAAAAAGAAGTGTCATCTTTGAATTATTATTAGACCATGTAGGCCTATGAGATAGATATATGGCAGACTTAAGTAATTATTTGTATGATTCCTTTCTTTCAAAATATGGAATAATTCTTAAATTTTTTTTTCTGCGAACAGTAATTGAAACCCATGCTTCATTGGAAAGTAATGTTTCAAACTGCTGTTCTCTCTGTGAAGACAAGTTTTTATTTTTACATCCCAATACCCAACAATTAGTATCACTTTAGAAGGTGGAATATATGACCAGATCTTTGCTAAGTCAGTGTGGTGCAGAAAATGATAAGGAGGGAGGACTCCAATATTGACTTACAGTATTTTAATCAAGAAATTCCAGACACATCTCTCTACCCATATTTCGATATATAGACTTATCACATATGGTCTTAATTTAGCAGTTAAACTTTGAATATTGCTAAAAATAAAATGCTACTGACATTTTAATGTAATAAGACTTGAGGGCCTTTTATTTGTTTTATGTACAGATGTTAGGTAATAAAGTGAATATTTCAGGTTTAATTAATTAAAAAATCAATCTCATCGTTTCAGTCACACAATTTATTTGCAACATTTGCTTCTGCATCTAATAGAATAAGCAGTATGAAGACATAGGGTTACTTTAGAAAATACTGAAATTTAGGGATAAAGAGAAAATGTTTAAAATAAAATAGGATGTTTAAAATAAAATAATAAAAGCAAAGAACTGAAGATGTATAAATTACTGTAAGGCCATTGTACCATATATCAGCATTGTGTTTCTCACCCAAGAAGACATTGCATCAGCAAATAATCTATTGAGCACTGTTATTTGGATGGTACTGAGATGAACAATTGTTTTAGTTGTTGCCCAGCTCCCCGCTCCACCCCTCAGCAGCCTCCAACTGTGCATGTTATGGGAGGTCATGTGACAGTGATCCTTGGTTTTGTTCATTTAGCCTGTCAAAACAATTTTATGTAGGTGGAAAGAAATGAATGAAATGAATAGAGTGGGTTAGCTGCATCAGCTCTAGTTTATACTGAAGGTAATGAATGCTGCATTGGGATAGTGTATCAAGCCCCCAGGAATATCCAGCTTGGTAATGCTGAAGAGAAAGTACTAAAAAGCAACAGTGGCTAATCTGTTCTAAATATCTTTCGATATCATTGTCTTCATGATAATTTGACAGTAATATTTAAACAATATATACTCTTATTTTACTTTATATAATTTAGTAATGTACCTAATCCTTTTCAATAATCCCTAGTTAATAACAGAAATATCAACATGGCTTTTCTGAGAAGAAAATTGTTTTAGAAGCTTTACAGATTATTAAAGTAACATTTGGTATACTGTATAGAACATGAGCTTTAAATTAGATCTTCATAATCTTGGTTTTGCTTTTCATGTAAATTTGAGGGAGATACTACATTTTTCTGAGTCTGTGTTTATATGTCAAAATAAAGTAGTATTACCTGATATCTCACAGTTTTTCTGAGAATTGATGAGAACAGAAGTAAAACAATCAGCTAGTAAATAGCAAACACTTGGCAGACGTTATTTTTAAAACCTCAGCTGTTCTTACTGGTCTCTGTATTAATTTTGATCTATTTTATTGTCTTAAAAATTCTTTTACGTGCTAAAATAATGTAGGTCTCTGAGATGTTGACAAGTAATTGAAAGAAGCATCAAATTATTTGTTTGGGATTCCCCTCAATTTAGCTGATATTCTGTACTCATGCAACTATATGTATTTTTCATATATATATTTCTAATTTTAAAGATTTAAGTAAGGTTCTCAGACCCCTTAAAATAAATCATCAGTAATTTCAAGGAGGATAAAAATCTACGATATGTAAAAAAGCCTCTATTTACAGTGTAGGTGACTCCTAAGCAAAATTGGATAAAAGTTTTAAGATTGCCATTCAGTGTATTCTCAAGGAAAATTGGTGTAGATTTTTGGTGAGGACAAAGCCCCTGTCTGTATATTTGTTTTTCCTCTATACTTTGCTATAAATAAGTGGTTGGCAGATTTTTTTCAATGAGTTTTTACATACTATATTAAAAAATCAAAAGGATAACAGTTGTGACCTTTGCAGGTTGGTCTTTGGGTTAGGTTTACTGAAACTCAGAGGCCCAATTTCATTCAATTGTCATCTTTAAGTCCTAGCTATAGGAATTTCTTTTATCCCTTGGAAAATACTAACTGCTTGTTAAGAACATACACATACTCTTTTTTATTTCGAAAGCACATCTATCGGTTCATTCAATACATGGCTGTTGAATAAGTCTGTTATACTGAGATGCTAAAGATAGAACACTGAAAAAGCATTTTGTCAATGCTTTTAGAAAAACCTCAATATAGTATTATTTGTTATTAAATGCTATGAAAGAGGTGTTTGCATAGTTTGTAAAACCATGTATCAGTGTGGAGGGGATGATTTAACCTAGAGTGAGGGGCAACCAGGGAAGGTATTCCTGAAGAAATGACTTGGTCTTTGAAAGATGCCTGGGCATTAAGTAGGCAAATAAAGGATGATAGAAGGCATGCTAGATAGAAGGAACAATAGCATTTTTGAAGGACCTGGATGAGAAGAAGCATGACATGTTTGAGAATGGAAAAGATTAGAGTGAAAAAAATTAGGCTCAAAGAGTGGGCAGGGACCATATATATGGATCCTCATAGGTCACAATGATGTTTACCTTTATCCTAAAGGCTGTAGAAAACTATTAAAAAGTTTAAAACAGAATTATGACGTACAATATTTCACTGAATTTAAAACTCTTAATCATATGGTAGATTCTAATTTCGGAGATGTTAAAAATGTGAAAAGTGGAATTCTAAGAATTAAGTAGGCATACCTTAGAATTGATTAAAATGGTATTAAAAATATTCTGGCTGTATATGGACAAAGTGGAAAACAGATTGTGTAAAGGTAAGATTAGACATGTGAGAACAATTTAGGAGATTGTTGGCAGGAATCTAGAAGAGACCATGATGGCTTGGAAAAGAATGGTGGCTGTAGTGAAAGACGTAAGTAAATTACTTTAAGTTTTTTGATAAGCCTTGCGCATTTTAGAACATTGTGTAAAACTTGGAATTGTAGATATGAATAGAAACAATCTTTAAGTAGGTTTTAATTTGGTACATAGTTACCATCTAAATTTAACTGAAACTTGGTGTTTTATTATTTTAAACCACATTCTGTTTTGGTTTTTGATTTTAGGACCGAAAGTTATCCAAGTCCGAGAGGCAGAGATTTAAAGAAGAGGCTGAAATGTTAAAGGGTCTTCAGCATCCCAATATTGTTCGATTCTATGATTCCTGGGAATCCACAGTAAAAGGAAAGAAGTGCATTGTTTTGGTGACTGAACTTATGACATCTGGAACACTTAAAACGTAAGTCCATTAATAATATAAAAGCTGACCAAAAAGTATGAGAAAATTTGAGTGTTCTTAATTTAGGCCTTTCAGTCCTACTTTTATTGCTCTAAGTGGGGAACATTCCCTTCAACTGGTTAGTGTATTAGCACATTTTTCTGTGCCCCAAGTCCTCTGATGTATAAACTGATTTGATAATTATTTGCTGGTAGGTATTAAAAGAAGAAGTTACTACAGAAAAAACCTAGTTTTTTTAAGTCATAGTACTTGTTTTCTAAAATTAGTGGTTAAGGGATCATAAGACAAATGGTGACAAGGTAGCCCTCTAGTGGTGAAATTGAGGTTGAAACTTACTGAGAAATTTTACCCATTTATCACCTTGTATTGGGCACTTTTTGCTGCATGTATACAACTATCGTATCAGATGCACATTGTATTGTAAAAATTATCACTAGGTAACTTCATTTCCTATAGCATCAGAAATTGAAGCCCAAACAGCTAGACCTATCATCCCTTTCAGGAATATAGATAGTTCAACTGCAGAAATTCCCTATTCTCTATTATAAAGAGTTTTATGATAGAGTTGGCGTATGCCTTTGGAATCTCAGGTCTCTTAGAGTATCTGTACTCAGAGAGGAAACTAGTGTAAATTATATGGTGTAAATTTTTTCTCGTGGAGGAATTATTTTTAAAAATTGTCCCTGTAGTGTATATTTATTTATTACTTTTTTTTAGTTAATGCTATTAAGCTCATTAATCCCAGATCTTTGAAACATAGTCTTGTATCTTTTGGACGTAGTCACTTGCAAGTGCTCTTAGATGCTTAAAACTAACTTGTTGAAAAGCCAACAGATTATTTTCCCCCTGCAAATTCTAATGTCCCTACCAAACTTCTGTAATATTTATGGCAACATCCTTATCCTAGTCATCCAGGCTTTTTGTTGTACATTTATCTGTTTTTTTCCACTAGACTGTGCTCCCTAGTGCTGTTCCTGAAACTTGATACATATTTGAATTAAGGATAGTTATGTGTATATCCGCATCTTGAGATTCCTTTCATTGGGTTGGATATTTAGTGGGTTATCTATATAGTCTTTCAGGCATACTCTACAAGAATACCCTACAATAGTTTACTTGCTTTAAAAACTGTAATGAGGGCTTTGGGTAACATAGTAGGCTAAGCCCCTGTGGGGTTCCCCCCACCAACAAATGAAAAAGTGGAATATAATAAAAGCTTTTTCAATATATATCCAAGCTTCAAAGAAAGAAAGGCTAACCCCTAATTTAAAAAGACAAAGAAGTAACTAACGGCCAAAACAGGAACTGATGCCTTGGCATTCTGTTGGGTTTTCATACCACAGTTGGGGCTTGAGGATTTGTTACTAGAGTTTTAATGTCCATGCCAGGACTACAAACCTTAGAATTCAATAGAGAGGGGAACTGGAACTTAGCTTGTGTCAAAAAACTAAGTTATTCATGAAAGAGAGAATTCTGTACCCCAGCAAGTGAAAGCTATAAGGAATTTTGCCCCTCTGCCCAGGACTTTGAATGGGAGAGGAATTCCTATGAAAAATAGAAATCTCACTCTAGGTCATATGTAGATAGCTCTGTAATACAAATTTATACTGCCTATTGGGGTGCATGAATCTCAAGCCTAGGTATGAACATTGTAATTGTTCCAGAACCCAGCGACAGCTCCCTAGGACATTCTTATACTTCATTGGTCATCATACCCATGGACAAAACAGTGAAGGTGATCTCACAATTAAATTACAAACACACCAGTAAAGATGAGCAGCTGCAACTGGAAAAATAGCACCACAGGAATTAAAGATACTATAGACAACTCTGAATTTACAAAATAAAGATGTAACTATAAAAAGATGTCAGTAAAGATATATATAAGTATATAAAGTGATAAAAGAAAGAATAGAAACCATAATGAAGAATATAATTTCATCAAAAATAGTTCAGGCATAATTAGGAAAGAGCCAAAGAACTAGAAATAAGAATAAATTATTAAAATTAAAACTTCAGTTTTTAATTTTAAATTATTAAAATTAAAACTTCAGTGGTTACAGCAGGCTAGATTGAATTGACAGGAATAAATATGAAGAAAGCAGAAAAAGATGGAAAATATGAAAAAAGAAAATGAGATAGAGTGAGAAGATATTAGATTTATCACT